GCCTTTGGAAATGTCCACACAGCAAAATAAAAGACACAAAATAGCATGGTAAACCTCAACAAGCTTTTATCTTGCTAATACAGATAACAATAGCTCCAAAAACATAGCAGGTAGAAAGGGCTTTCCACACCAGCAATGTCTCTCTAACATCCGTACAGAGCCCCGGGGTGATTTATATTTGGGTTGCTGGTTTGTGTGAGTCCATCCTGTGTTGTGTAGGCACGCTTTCTCTCTTACAGACAGTAGACACAAGTGATAACGATGCCTAATTAATGGAATTAATTGCCCTCACCCGACTGAAATCTGAACAGGCTAGGAACAAAGCGGATTGTGTGCGTCATCAAATGGCACCACAGTCAGCAGAAGGCTCACTTTGCATATCGCATCCGTTTCAACTGTGACACCAAGAGAACAGGACCTGCTAAGAAAGATCTGCAGGGAGTAAAGTTTTCAGAATACAACGACCCTTCTAGGTCCCTGATTGATATTTGTTACTGGATATGTGGCAGCCTGTGTCTCTATGGGTGATGTCTGAATACCAAACCATTTGGGGAGTGACTGGATACAAGACCAGAAAGGGTCAGTTTGTCTTTAGACTATCTCAAATCCAGCCAAGTAAATAGTGACCAGAAGGTCCAGTTAATATCTCCCAACTACTGCATGACTTATTTTGGTCCATGGTTTGCCATCAGTTGCCTGCCAATTATACAAGATCCAACCCAAGTTTATCCCTGTCAACAAGAGTCATCGCAACACTGAATCATTACACCCTTGCCCCTCTCCACACAGACACCAGTCACCTGTATCTTAATTCCCTTCAGAAACTGCACTTTCCTACATTGCTGATTAGAGCTAGTCAGAAAAAAAAATATTTCTCCACTGAAAAATAAATTGTTTCCATTAAAAATCTAACCTACACATCTTTCCTCCATTTCTGAGATACAGCTTGTCCAAAGAAAAAAAATTAAAAGATGTTGAAGGAAACATTAAACTGATTTCTTTCCACTTTATTTAGTTGAACATAATCTGATTTGGAAAAAGATGTCGATCTGCTAGCAAGGCCATCTCTGCATTGGCTGGTGTGAGCCAAATTTCCAGTCCCGTTGAGGAACACAAGAGAAAACAGGCTGACCTTATCCCATTTGCCACAGCTCTTTGCCATTGCAAGGGCACGTTTAGCCTGCAGCCATTCCAGGGCAGGAAAAACACACCAAGCTAACCTGGGTACTAGAAATGTCCCAAACCCAAACTCGGGGTAGGGTGGTTTATCCAGGAGACAAGGTGCACGTCTGTGACTGCCACAGACACACCTTTGGGTCATCTGTTGATACCCTCACTGGTGTACGCTTTTCTAAAGCCTTCAAGGAAATAACATGCAACCTTTCCAGCTGAGAAAAACTCCCATCTTTTCCTATTACAGCAGTGGTAAAAGGGACCCAATGAGGTCACATAGTCCAGCCCCGCCACCCCCACCCCAGGCAGAAACAACTAAATTTAAACCATCTATCACAGGAACTGCTTACTATACTTTTCTTGTCTGCTCACACATTCTTTTCAAACCAACCTTAACCTTTCTCTTTCAATTAAAAGAGGATGGATGATATCTTTCTTGCTCAATAGACTTCCTGCTGTTTCTCTCTTTCTATGTGTTGTTTTTGCTGGATGTTTTTCAAAGTCAAATGCCCTTCCTAGAAATCTGGGCACCATGATGTCGGAGCTAAAACTGCTGTCAGAGTTTGCTATTGACTAACGTGTGTAGACTGGGATTGATGTCATTTTTGTGAGAAAAGCTAATGCTTGCAGGAAAAGAATGGGAATATATATTATTGTGGGCTTTAAGATATGCATTACGGAGACAGTATGTTTTCTCTTTCTTATCTGATAATTTTCTTGATTTTCTGGGACAGATTCTCAGCTTCTATAAACACGATTTCAGGCAAGACTGACCCATGGCAGTCACACTAAGGAATAAGCTGGCGCTTGGTCTTGACAGACAGTGTGCTTGAATTCACAGTATTTCTCTGTGGCTCCAGCTGCACTCTACGCGATGGTGTTTACCAAGAAAAAATATAAAGCTGTGTGAAAACACAGATTTGTGTGTAATAAGTACTACTGAGAAAACAGCAAAGACCCCTTTTTGGAAATAGAGATTTTCCTTACAACATGCTATGGCTCAAAGGTATATTTTGGCCAAAATGCTACACTCTGATGGAATACAGAAAAGTACAGACCACCAAAAAAAATGAGCTTTGATCAACAAATGTAGCATAAACACAGTTATCACATAATTACGTCTGTGCCATTCTCTGCTGCAAATATTGTAGAGTTGAGGAAAGCCCTGGAATAGTTAAGAGCACGAATACAAAATAGCCATTTTCTCATATTTCAAGTGATGCAGAAAGAAGTAACAGTCTATCCATTTTCGCTATGCAGTTTTTTAGTGTTCCTGAGCAGGGTCTGGATGGTAAACACTTAATAAAAGGAAAAAAAAAGAAAAAAGAAAAAAAAAAAAGGAAGTATCCTGCATGTTTTCTCCTTGTATGTATTAAACTAATTACTCTGCTTTAACAAGGGGAACTTTGTTCTCATAATTTCCAAGTTTCATTCCAGCCCCTGCAGCTAATCATGACCACGGTCGCTGATAATGAGTAGTAAATTGTTATAGTCCTCAGAGCCTGATAGGTACATTCCAGCCTGCATCATGTAGCCCTGCTTCTCTATACATTATTGTTCACAGATGGTAGCTGTCAAACTCTGTCAACTTCATATACACATTCAGAGAGTCACATCCGCATTCCTGGAATTTATGACTGCACAGCCCTCACCTTCTAAGGCCCTTAATTCAATAACATGTCACGTCCCTTCAGTCTCACCCCGCTTTAAAATACTTTCACCCACTTACGGGCCTTCCATTTTGAAAAAAAACCTACTGAGTTATTACAATGTAAATATTTTAATAGAATAGGGGGGAAAAGCCTATCTGGCTTTAAACAGCCCCATTATTACGTTAAGATTGATGGTCAGGAGCTAATGGAGCATTTGCTTTAAAAGTTTATTTAACTGTAAGGAAAGTGGATGTAGATATGTGTATCTATTGACTGCCACATCACTGAGACTTTGGGTAACAGTACATAATATAAAGAGATATTTGCAGGGGCTTCGTTGTCTAAAAGGTATTATTTAGTCCAACTTTGTCTATTATTTAAACGCTAGGCAGAATAAACCCTAAGCAGAATAAAATGAATAATTTCCATTTCATTTTAACAGCACTTATTGTGAAATGAATAAATATTACACCCTGAAAACAGACACCTGAGGATGCTGCTACTAATAACGTGAATGAAAAAGGAGAAATTCCTTCCTCTGCCCAGACTGAGAAAGTGAAGTGCAAATGAGTAAACAAAGCAAGTAAAGCATAACAGGTAAATTAAAAGATAGATTTCTTTTTTCTGCCTAACAACGCAAAAGTGTTACTAGTAACCCAGACAGGGGCCATATCTGCTGCATGTAACCCCCCTTCCTCGTTGGACTCTTCTAGCCAAGATCCTGTTGGACCAGGAAAGAAAATCCATAGAAGCATCTTTCCAGAGCTTTTGCACTTTCAAACTGGCTTTGTCTCTCCCCTTCCAGGGAGGACTCGAATAAAGCAAGCTGCAGTAGTGGTCTGTAAATGGACCGTGTCTCTGGGCTGGACATGAATCAGCCAGAGCTCTGAGCTGGATCTGCCCTTGCTTTTCTGAGTTTCTCAGAAAGACAGCAGGTCTTTAAAACTGAAGGAAGCTGGATTTTACCAGAATGTGCACTATAAATACTTCTTAACGAAAGAAAACTCACGCTGCTCACATCTCAGAAGTTAAAATGATCGGTACATAACTTTCTCCTGTTCCACTGTGTCCTAAAAGACAGATCTTTACTTAAAGATTTGGGGCTTGTTTTTTTTCAATGTTACATTTTCCACAGATGAAGAACACACGAGCGTTGCCCCACTGACACCCACGTGAGTGACGTGGCAGGAGTGCACGCCCCCCAAAACCACACACAGCCTTCCCCCACTAACTCCACAGCCACACTGGTTGTGTTAGAATGTAAGGTAGCCTCATGTCTTGACAAAGCTGAACCGAGTTTTCCTCCTACATGTCTTTCAGGCTAAAGTAAGCCAGTTTGTGTCAATGAATAATGCAGCAGGATGTAGCTGGTCCTGGAGAAACACTTCACTTACATCCCCGCGCCCCCCAGAACTATGAGTAATCTGATAGGGGTTACTCTGAAATGCAGTTGCAATGCTGGGGTCTCCCTTCCCTCATTAACCTTTTTAAAAGAACCCTCAGACTCTTACCAGCGTCCCTGGTGGGAGCTGGTGTCACCATTAAGGGCACGCAGCACACACGCTATGTCACATTTATGGCCACCTCCTCCGCTGCTGACATCACTGTGACCCCATTGTTGCAGCAGTGATGTATACGCCAGATGAAAGGTTTGTGAGGCTATAACTTATCCAGAGCTGGATGTTCTGAGACCGCAGCGGTGGTGACCTCGAGATCATGTCACAGTGGGACTCCTTTATAGGTTCCCCACACACAAGAGAGCATCCTGCCAAGGTGGAGATGCAGCCTGGGTCAGAGGCTGGCTCTTGTGAAATCTTGGGAATAACGGGCTGAAAACAGCATGTTCTGTTGTCTTCCTTCACCTTTTGTGAAAGGGTAACAATTAAATCATCGCAAAACGCATCAAAGGATACTTCAGTAGTAGCAACAAGCAAGCTAAAAACGGTCAGGGAATTAACTCGAGTTGTGATTTTAAGCCTACACATTCTCAAAGTGTGATAGACCAAGACACCTGGGAATGTACACACACACAAAAAAAAAAAAAAAAAAAAGGAAAAATGCATCCACCCCATTAGTAAAACATTAACAAGGTGAGGAATGTTTTGATAGTCTGTGATTGCTGAGATTCTAGTCTGGTTCCCTCCCTGCCACAGCTCTTCTCTATAACTGGGTAGATTGTGTGCAGCCTCACTCCACCAGAGAGCAGATAAATAGATTCAAGACTCCAAACTACTCAGATGTCACAGTAAAAATGGCTGCAAAAGGGGCTGCATTATCACACAGCTGGACTTGAGTCAGGAAAACATCTTGAGTCAGGAAAGCTCTTCAAGTCACTGGGAGATACGGATTACTCACGGTGACACTACCCTGTGCTCTGTTGTTTGTCTCTTTGGAGAGCAGAAGCAGAAGGTTGTATGAAAGCTATTCGGTAAGAGCTTATCTGTTTTGAAGACATTGGAAGGGGGGAAAAGCAATTTATAGGCTGTGATTTTAAAAAGGCTCCTATGTATAGGCTTTTACCGTGACAAGACAGTGTCTCAGTCTGGTCTGCACTCACTCTAGTGCTGCAGGGCATAAAAGAAAGGAGCATTACACCACATACAACCTGCTAATGGAGCCACATCATCCTGTGAAATCCATCAGCTGGGCCAATTCTGGCTCTTACTCTGTTCTGATTTCTTGATAACTGTTCAGCTAGAAGTATACGGGACGTCTGAGAAGAATAACCTCAAGGAATAATCTCATCTTACTAGAAATATCTGTCTTGATCACCCCATTGTCTAAATGAAGGGAGCCACGGATACCAGTTACCCTTCTAGGTGCTGGTCTGTCACCTGTAACATTTGATGAAGATCCATGGTATAACAGGGGATGGGAAGAGCAGCAGACACTGATCGAGTCCCACTGAATCATATGGGCCAAATGATCCTACAGTGATCTGTATTTGGGTGAGAAAAGTACTTGTCTCCTTCTATGAGTATATTTTATTTGAATAGCTTACCAAAATGCAGACTGCCCGACCACAACAAGCGTGTGCAGAATTCAGCAGAACGTGGCTTGGATCCTAGCTGATAACTTAAGTGTTAATATACGACAAGTAATTACAATGCAGACTCAAAAGAGAGTGCAAGAAAAAATACATTACTTTTGAAAGAATGGCTATAATTGTTTCCTAAATTTAAAAAAGGGGGAAAACAATTTGGTCATACCTATGAGAAGAATTGCAGGTTATAGAGAAAAAAGCAATCTAATAATTGTAAGATTGCCTGGATTTGGATCTGCAAACTTTCTCCACCGTTGCAGGATCTGAACCGAATCCAAGCGTTTGAAAGCCCCTGAAATTTTTGCTCTTTTCAAAATACAAATCTAATCCACCCCAGCTCTATGCACTGCTTGTTACAAACAAAAAGCGGGCTTTTTTCCCCCCTGTTTGTATATTGGTTGCAGCTTAACCGGGGATACAGTGGAGCCACTGTGCTGGCGACTCGCTGCTGATGTACAGCACATTCCTTCAGGTGCTGATTTGGGGGGTTTATGGGGAGGCTCCGTGCAGGTGCCCCGGGAGCACCCCGCGCTGCCAGCAGGCTGGGGGGCATTCCTCTGCCCAAACAGCAGGGCCGGATCACACAGCTGTCATGGGGGGACACACACAACACGGGGGATTCCTGACCCGACGTCCACAAAAAATAGTAAAAAGCCTTTTCTCAGTCGGACAGAAGTGATTTTGCAAGCCAGGTTTTCGCTTCACCTTGCCAAGAGATTTAAATAGAAACATTCTTTTGCAGAGCGAGCCCATGTGAAAAGCACACAATGGGGTTGGTAAACAATGGAACGATTTACAACCAGCTTGTAAAAAGAGCAACAGGTACGTGTTTTAAAAAATATGTATGGTTCCTGTTCTATACAGCTTGTTTTCAAAGGGTTCTGCCCATTGAGCAGCTGGATTGTGGGTTCCCCTGTCTCACCGGATGAAGAGGAGGGATGAAGGTGAGCAGCAGGAAGAAGACCTGGCAGGGGCATGAAACAGTGAGAGAATTTAACTAAATCTGCTACTCGCCTTCTCTTCTCTGCTGGAGCCTTGCACAAGCTGGAGAAGATGCTGATGGAGGTGAAGTATCACGTTAAAAGTCCAGGACTGGGGAGACATCCCCGGAGACAGCTCTGGGAAGGGAGATGGGGGCACAGAGGGGGCTACCTGCCAGATAAGGACAAGCTGCACAAAGAGCTGGTTTCGTGTGAGGAGGCACAGGAAGCCTGTCCCCTTACTGGGACAAACAATGGTTTAGAGCAGAATTAGACTAATTATCTCAGCAGCAGCCAAAACCACTCCCTCCACAATCTGGCACTCAATGTGATTTTTGTCCAAGCAAACCGTATTCAGCGCTGCAACCAGGAGCTTTCAAAAGCCCTGATGGAACAGCATGACCAGTGTGCTGAAACCTTCACACTGGCAACCAGACACCCACTTCACACCCTTCCTGGGCGCTACAGACACCTGGCTGTTTGGAGCAGTTTTGGGACAGAGCTTTTTCTAGTTGACTTATCAGAAGCAGATAGGTTTGGGTTTGTTTTTTTTCACCCGCAGAATAAGGCACTATGTTGAATGGGAAGATAGCAAAGGTTTGGGATGTGTAGGACTGAAATGTCTCTAGGTAAGTAGGACAAAGAAAGCTTGATAATAGATTTATGGAATTTAATTACTCTAACAGCAAGAACTTCATACTTCTTTGGCCATTCTGATCTTGATTACCAATGTGAAGATCATTTAACTATATATTAATTACTCTTTAACAGTTGAATAAGGTACTCCAGATGTACTGTGGGACTTCCTATATTTCTAATAAATATATAAATCAGATTGCTTGGTTCATAAAAAGGCACATGAGTACAGGAAGATACACGTGGTGCTACTACCTCCTCTGGGGAGCACAGGGTCAAGAAATATCTACATATAATCAAGCAAATGAACACCATGCATCAATCTTTGCTCTGTAGTAGAAGGGGTTTTGTTACCCTGCACTGTCCTCACAGGAAAAAAATTGAGAGATTACCAGCACAAACTGGTGGCCATCGGATTCAGCAGCAACTCCTCTGCTAAGTCTAGTGCTGGGTCATAAAACCAGTTGTCCTTTGTGGCTTTTGCATTAGATGAAGGATGGGACCTTCTCCCTCCCCTTCATCCCAGTCATCCTGTGCTGTCGGATGAGAAAGCTCACGCTGTACTCATTCTGGGAACAAAAGGAACAGTTCTTTTCTCTAGTGCTGACAACCTGATACCACTCATAAGCCCTGCCAATTTCAAGCAGGAACGTGGAAAAGGTACAAAAAGTTTAGGCAGCTTAACTGAATTGTCATGCTTGTTGTGAAGAAGGGGCTCTGGTAGCCTGAATTTGCATGCAGCCCCAGGAGCTGCTAAGCCCAAATAATCGATCACGGGGAACACAAATGAGGACCAGACGTGTTTCATTCAATTCAGTGTTCAGTAAGATTTTTGTCCTCCATCTCGCATTCTAACAGCAAACATACCCAGGTGTTATTTTGTTTTAATAGAATTGCAATTTGAATATCGCCAAGCCAATAAGGTCGTTACCAGAATGGTCACAAGTATCCTTAAAAATAGCACAAAATGACCTATTTTCTAGTAACAAAAGGCTTTGAAGGTATGCTTTTTTGACACCTTAAATTCAGTTCTTTTTCCTCGCCGTCTTCCAATATCAGCTAAAAATCATCTTAAGAGTTACAGTATGGTGGTGGTACGTTCCCTGCTCTCATGCTGGAACAAGAAGGAAAGCTCAGTGGTGTTCTTCCCTTTCCCCTGCTACGTGTTGTGTACATAGAAAAGAATAAGTAAGAAGGCAGACTAGTACAGTCTTGAATACCAGTGGTGAAAGATTATAGCCTAATGGTTTCAAAATCTCTTTTAAAATTATTCCCAGAACAAAATGTACCTGTATGCTTTTCCCCAGTATGCTGGGAGATTAGATGAGTACAGAACAGTGCATGGGCTGCCTGTCTCCATAATAAAAGAATCACCAGTCTCTGCCATAAGTCTGCAGTAATTCTAAAATGAGATTTATATGGTTATTACTAGCAACTATTCAGCAAATGTCTCAGCTCTTAGGTTTTTTGAGTTACAAAATAAAGGCAAAGAGAAGAAAGCCACTAGTCTTTTCTCCACGCCCATCTTACCAAATCCACATTATTTCAATGCTGATTATTAACCATTAGTTGGTTTTAACAGTGTGTTTGGATCCTACATGGCCTCATGGACACCTTGGTGCAAGCCTCAATAATTTTCTTCCTTTGTCCTCTTGCTTTCTGTAAGTTTCAGATTTTCAAAACTGAAAAAAATGAAGCCTAGGTTTCAAAAATAATTTTTTATGGTCATTTAAAATAATCTGTGTTTTTTTCCCATTAGTTGAAGATACAATGCAGTGGTTTTGCTTTTCAAGGGTATGCTCCAGCATTTTGCCACTTGCTCTGTTTTAGCTTCTTGTCCTTTCAAGCCAACCAGTAATGTAAGTGTTGCAACTTGAACAAGGCAGGGTCCCTGCCTTATACAAAATATCCTGGATTTAATACACTAACATTGCCTTCAAAAGACAAAAAGCCTTTTCGTTACAATTCATTAGGTTTCAAAAACCTATATATGACACTTCACTAGAATTTTATCTTCTCTGGGACTTATGGAAGTTTATTTCATGTTAAATAGTGACTCGATCTCTAGAGCTGTATTTTAGGAAACAAAATCCAAGCAGGGAGTTTAGTATTACACAGGACTAGCTCAGGTTCTTAAAAGAACTGCATCGTAACTAACAAAAACAATTTCCTCAAATCAAACTCCCATCTACTGAAATAGTTTATATTTGCAAGACAGCTTCCATTGTGCAATGGTTCTGTTTGACGACACATGGGACACAGATTAAAGCTTCTTGAAAGACAGTCTACAACTACATTTGTGTGGTTTATATTTCAATCGGTACCTATAGGATAATAATTTTTCCTCTTGGCTTCGTGATATAAGTATGGAATTACATTATCAACAGTTTCAGTGTGGCCAATCCAATTTACTTGGCTGAACGAAGCACGCCCTGCCTCCTGAAGAGATTAAGGAATACCAATGGTTTTGTTTTTAGTAACCAACAGTGGGATTTTCAAACTATTCAGCACTGGTCAAATTTTGCTCTATTGACATCAACAGTAAAACTCTGATTTCAGAAAGACTGGAAAGAACCCAGCTCTGAATACCTCTGAAAAACTCTACCCTCAAAATCTTTATTTTCAATTACTTCAAAACATGCAATTTATTGAATCTAGCATGAGAAATTCTGCCAGAGTGTATCTGAAATGCAGCTGGGAATATAAGCAAACAGATGATCCATGTGATATTCTAACTTGGAGCTTTGAAATCTGACAACTGAAAATAATTTACTTTGAAGGAAAAATAAATTCCTCTCCACCCTCTTTTCAATACATGAAATATTCACCTCTAAGTTATTTTTCCACAAGAAAATGGCAACAGTGTTTTTCACTACTGAATTTTATGCAAGACCCTCTCAAGCAATCCAGCATGTACTCAAATCTTAAGGCAATAGAAATATATATAAACTATGTAAAAGTCTCACAGAATAAAAACAAAGGCACTTAAATCACTGTCTATGACAACTTTGAAGATTCTGATTACAAGTTGCAAGAAGTTTTTTTTTCTCTTTGTCATCACACCAACATACACAAAATATTGGGAAGATATTAAACAACCTTCTTAAGGCAGACCTGCCTAAAAACAAAAAGTGGGGAAACAGGAGTAATTCACGATCAACCTACAGAAACCACAATGGAAGGACAGATCACTTACATGGAAGAATAAGCATTATTCTTAAAGTGAAAACCAAAGGTAGCACATGAGAAATGGTATGACTCAAGCTAGAAAGCTGTGACACCCTGCTGAACAAGATCAAAGATGAGCTCAGGTTAACAGCACAAGGATTAGTGAGAAATGTATAAATAACCCAACTTTATATAACTCCAAACCTTCAGACGGTGCCAGGGCACCTGGTAGCACAGCACAGAGCAGGAATGGTGAGGTGAGCTCCTGAGATAACCAAGAGGCAAGACTGAGGACAGGACCTCAATTCATTTTAGACATTAGGTTATGAATAGCTACCTCATAAAGATAACCAAGGTTTGGGAGAATGGGGGCCCTGACTCTGCTGAAGTAAACAAGCAGATTTTCATTTAATTTTAGTGAAACTGCCCAAAGACCTGCCCCACATTTGAACTAGAATGCTTGTCATCTACCGTACTGATTTACAGGTCCTTGTGACTTCCAGCTCAGTTTGCATGTCTCATTTCTGGAAGTTTTAAAGCTACCTAGGTTTGAGCAGCCATTTCAAATTCTAATTGATAGGTCTCAAGCCAGAGAGGGCTGAGAGAGCAGCTCTTCTATCGCACTAGTTTACATGAAATGACATCTCACTTAATAAAAAACACAACAATTTTCTAAAAAACCCCACCATTCCACAATGGTAGTATTCTATCTATATTTTATTCCCTATAAATCAAGCCCTGTCCAAGGGTTACACGGGAGCTGTCAATAACTCTGTACCTAATGCTGTATCTGCTTACAATTCCTGAAGTGACAGCATAGTAACTCATAGCACTGTGAAGCAGTTTGAGACACATGGGATATTTACGAGGGTATATAATACAGTCACTATTTTTCTTTACCTTTTTATTTAATATCCAAACCTTGTATCCAAATATGGAGAGAAAGCACTCATCCGATAGCCGAAGCTGCATTCAGTTAATAGTCATAATTCTAGTCAAAAAGGAAAACCATCAGCCCCTCTCTAATGGCATAAATACAGATACTCAAGTTTTCAATGCTTTACGAATTCTTGGCACATTTTCTTTTTCCTAGAAATTTCCAAAAGAAGTGAACAAATAGTTCAAAGAAAGAGTTTATAAGAAATACGGACTGCACCGTGTTTAGCACATAAACCAGGTGGTGCTAACTTCATTATGGAATTATAGCAACGGCAATAATTTTTCTCTTCCTTCTCACCTCTAAAATATGCTGCCTGTAGGCATGCAAGACAAAAAAATAAAAATGTTTGTAATTTTTAAATATCAGTTTAATACTGTCAGGAATTGTAAGTATTAACCAGTTACACAGATAGCTACAAGGCAGAACTAATATTTTTCCATATCTTAAACTTTGTTTAGCCTGTCTAATTTTGTAATTCTTTCAAATGACACACACATATCCCATAGTATTTATTAACAGCAGTTGCTTCTCCATATTCTGTCAGTTTAAAATGTTTTTTTTTGTTCAGCATTTCTGAGAAACAGTAACAACAAAACTCAAATACCATAATAAATCTAGTGAGTGTTCATAAACTGGTTAAAGGGAAGAAGCCCCACGAGGAGAGAAAATCACAGCTGCTGCAGAGGAAGATTGCAGCCTGAGGAGCCTGGGAAGAACATGGCAATCTGAGAAACTTGGCATAGAGCTTAATAGGACCATCCTATAGAAGTACCTTGAGATCCTCTTTTTGCTTTGACTCAGTCAATCAACACACTGCAGTCTCTTGTATTCAGTCAGATGAGAAGAGATTACATACTTACTGTGAATCAAAATGGATACAGCAATGAAACAGAAGCTTGGAAGAAAAGCCAGAGGTACAGCACCCTGGTAGGAGTGAAAAAAAAAAAAAAAAAAAGAAAGAAGTCTGTTACTCATTTGTATAATTAGTTTCCTTTAACTAGCACATGAGGTAAAACAATGCTGGAGAGGAACCACAGCAGATGGAACCATCATTTCCCAGCTCAGATCAAGAGGGCAGACAGGACCTAGCTCAGATCAGTGACACTTCTCAGCCTTAACACGATACAGGTGGAAATCAGACCACTTTGCTGTTACATCTCCAACACTAGGAAGAAGAAACAACCCACAGCTAAGACACCCAAACCTGGGCTGCTCTCCCTGCACCAAAATGATATGAAAATACTGACCTGGCAGCATCTTTGTGATAAGGCTAAAAATGATTCATGCCCTGCCATCAATGACATGCAAATGAGGAGCAGTGGACAATTGGGAGGATTGCAGCTGATGCAGTTCCACTAAACATACTCATTATACAGTATAGGAAGCAGCAATGGCTTGAATCTGGGAGGGACTTCATGTCATCTTATAGTTCTTGGGGTTGCTTTTTAATAATTTTCACATTACTGTTACTATAAAAACACATCATCAAGTTAAAATTTTTTTATTGCACATATGACTATCGTTATACCTATTTGTCTCTTTACAGCTGTTCTTGGTAGCAGTATATCTAGATGAAAATCACAGATCTCATGTAGAGCAGTAGAAGAGATTTTTTATTTTCTTTATATATATTTTCTACTGATTTCTTTTTATCTTTCATTTCTTTTTTTTTGTTCACTTTTTCCTTTTATACTGCAGAACAGAGGACAGAGAGGCCATAACCTATCTGCAAAGTGGAGCAGCAGCAGCAAGGTCTAAACCAGAAGTTTTGAGGAAATCCATGGGTATCTGGAAAAAAAAATCATGGTATGTCACAGCATACCAGCAATTCTAAAAAGCTTGTGCCATACTGGACCTGAAATCATTATCTTAAGTCTGAGTATGTGGGAGAGAATGCATTATTTCTGGAAACAGACTGCATCCTTCTGTATGCTTTACTTGGCTTTATTCCCTTCTAGTTACTTTACCAATAAAGTATGTTGTATGTATTTTATGTTTACACTTCAGAGGGGAAAAAAATGAAGTGATGAACCTAATAGGATCCATTACTAAAATCCTGAGAACATTAGAGTTAGCAATCTTTCCAAGTAGCTTGCTGAGAAATTTTTCTATAGAGCTGCTATTTATTTTCTTTCACTTTCCAAACTGCATGAGGTAATTTTCTATTTTTAAGGCATAGATCATGATATAGCCAAACAGAAGCTGGGATTCCATCTTCCTATGTCATCTGTAATAAGACTCTGTGGCAGGAGCACTATAAAACCCAAGCCAAAATCCTTTACCCAAATTACCTTCACGTAATCCCTTCACTTATCAGGAGAAAGTCTGAAAAACACTCTGAATCATAGGCCACATACCACCTCTGCTCTGGTGTGCAATACACCACTAAGAAGGAAATAAAATGACCTCGCCTGCCACCGCATTAGACAAACCAGGGATCTGCACAACCTGTGGTCTCCAAACCCAGGCAATGCTAAAAGCAGGAGCTCCCAGCATTTTTTCATCCCCTGGTTGTGTGCACAATGCTCTTCCCAGACTCTGCCTATTTCCAATTCCTCTGGCTTATGATTTTAGTAAGGTTCATTTAAGTTAAAATACATTCATTAGAATGTCAGGTGAATTAAATTAACTTTGTGTCTTACAGTACACACATACAATACAATCTGAGGGTTGCAAGTCATTGTTGTCAGCTTCTATACTATTTTTTTTAATCTGAAAGAGGATGAATGTTTTCAGTATTATAGTGTTCAGCATTTATGCATGGAGTCAAAGCTGTAGAACTTAAATATCAAAGCATGTGAGGAAATCTCTGATCTTTACATCAAAGTCCACTGAACAGAAAAGGCTCTCTTTGCAGCAATGAATGTCAGTGAAGGTCATGCAGCTTTTACCTTTATTTAGATAAGCAAAAGTATTGATGTGTGGAAAAATCCAATGTGAGATGATGCCTCCGAAACCAAGTGCAGAAAGTTTTAAGGACACGTGGTCTACATAGATCTGATATCTAGTGACCATGAAAAGAGGATTATTCCATCTCATGAAGTGTAGTTTTGTAAGAAATGTCTGCCTGCATTGATCCAAACCAGGACGCATGGGATGCACACTCATTGTTTCTTAGTGCATTCAGCCCATATTCTCACCCGACTGCTATTTTGCTCTTTGAATGAACTCAAGAATCTTGAATATGACTGTAATGTTATGGGAAGGCAGGAGGAAAAATAAGGAAGATGCAGGCAACTAACCATCAACTCAAAAGAATAACTAGGACAACAAGTACCTGTTATTACTTCAGTATTGCTTCCAAGCTTCCTACTGAAGATCAATAAGTGTGATTTGTTAATGTAAAGCCACAAAGAGTCATAAACTTAACTTTAACATTAATTAATACCTGCATCCACACTTTACCTTCTTAAAAACAAATCAGTACAAACCTTGGAGATCATAAATTTGTATTACTACTAAGTAGTAGTCGTCATGCAAATTCTGATACTGCCAAACTCCTCAGAACTAAAACTTTTGGGGAGTATCAAACTTGTGGTCCCCCAACAACTGTTTCCAATCCAAAAAAAAAAATTAAAAAGGGGAAGAATAAGCATTTTTAAATCTCGCCAGACCCTCACACAGAACAGAAAACAAAGTTGTTGTGTGTAGACCTGGGTACAGAACCATGTTACTCCCAAAGTACATTTCATTCTTCAGCTTTTTTATCTGTGTTTCCTTTGATCGTTGAGTCTCAACAGTTGTAACAACTTACTAAAAGGAAGTGAAGTAGGAAATATAATTCTTTTCAACTGTCTTCTAAAACACAGAATAAATACATTGATAGGAAAATATTCCCCCTTCTGACAATCTTTAGTCTTGCTGAACAAACTCAACACTCTTGCAGATTAAGTCACTGAAAAGCCAAAGCAACACTCCTAAATTTGAATCAATAGCCAGAATAAGCAGAAATCTATGGATTTAAAGCTATATTACAGTGTTCTTCCATCTTTATTTCCCCCAAAACTCTCATATAATCCCTGTTGTACAAACCATACACACAAACATTTATAAAATGACAGAATTTGGCTTAACGTCATTTACCCCATAACAAGGCCAGTCAATACAAATCCATGATGGTGGAAGCCAACTAGTTAGCCCTTGACTATTCTCCAGCAAACCTGATTATTTTTATTCCATTAGTCTTCACTTTTCCAATAAGTAATAACAGGGAATATTACAAAGTTATAACTTCATTTAGAGGACAGCACTCATACAAACGAGCTCTCCCTTAATGGACTGCACAGCCCCAAGTGCACAGTCCCACGGGGTGGTGGTCGGGGTGAATAAGGTAATTTACAACAGTAAAGTTACCAGATTTAGACTTACTTCATATTCCAAGACTAACACTAATCCCCTTGTTTTGCTTCACTACTTTAACATGCTATATGATAAAATTAATGAGGTGAATAATGCCTGAACTGACATATTTATATGCCAAAAAGCCTAAAGATGGAATAGAAACAAGTTGAAATTAATCGATAAGAGATTTCTTATTATAACTACTCGTGAGAAGTCATAGAACAGAGTACTCTCACGTGACTTATCTTTCCAACCTGCGTTTCTTCAAAACGAGCCTTCAGCACAGAATAGTGGCCCCAATCGAGTGGTAACAGTCAAACACAAAAAGTCATAAGCCTTACAGACACATGAAATAATTTGATACTTCTTTGATTTAAAATACAAACTCTACTTTGATTTCTTATTAAACCAGTTCTACAGAAAAAAAAGCTCTTCTCATTTTTAAAGAAAAATACCTTAAGATTGCCCAGTTCCCTGAAGAACATTAAGTATTCACCATAGTCTCAAGTGTACTTTTTTTCATTCTTGTTCTTTTTCTAGATGTACTAAAACCAGCAAACTGAATCCATTTGTGCTGTGTGAAACCAGAATATCAGACCATGTGTAGAATGGGTTCCCTCTTTCTTCATCAGCCTTTCTGACCAGATGTTTCAGAAGTACAGAACTGCCTCACAGAATTACAAAAAAACCCAAACATATATATATGTGTGTGGAAAATCTTATCTTCTGCAACAGAGACTGATAGAAAACAAAAATTCAGCTGTCAGTGATGGAAAGAAGTACATCCTAAAACACTTTTATATTGAACTTAATTGAAGTTTAAGGCGAATTTCTCCCCTTAAGAAAGGAAAAATAAAGAGGAAAGCAATGAAACTACTTGAAAGTACCAGCATGGACTACCAGTAAACTGCCAAAATGTTGCTTAAAAGACAAGCTTTAATCAGTCTCATGGGCAAATCAAAACACACAAAAATGGTAGCACTTCTAAGCTGTGAATGTGCTCCACAGTGAAGCTCTATGAGGGACATAGTGTAGGGGAGGACTATGTAGAGTAGGGTAGATGGTTGGACTCGAAGATCCCAAGGGTCTCTTCTCAACCTGAACGATTCTATGATTCTATCTTCCTGTAAGTGCAAGTCACACCAAAACAAAGTGAAAACAAAGAACCCAGTGTAAATCTGTATGATACTGAAGCAGCAGAAATGCTTAAGGAGCAATATGACAAAAGAATATTCAAACCTCTTCAAATCAATCAGAAGCAGGCGTCCTGCAAAAGAGTTTGCAAGCCCAAGGAATGAACAAGTACAAAAGGAGCCTTTGAGAATGTGAAGGCTGCATTGCAAAAGCCCAGTGAATGATTTCTCTGTGACAGAGTTCACTTTCCCAAAGTTTTTGAGAACTAAGGATAAGTGAACAAGGAACACTGCCTGCAACATTTTAGAACAAATTTGTGAATGTGGACCGAGTCATAAGGATTTAATGGTACTTCTTATCACCAACTGCGCAGCATGAAGCTGAAGAGTAGTAATGCCAGAACAAACCTAAACAAGTCTGAGGGAGTCACAGAGGATGACTCAAAGGAACACACTTAATTTTTGAAGTGTCTTGAGACAGGTCCTTCAAGGGCATGAGACCTACCGTGAAATAGAAAGGGCCTTGAGTGTAATCATAGGCTGTTAATTCAGAAAGGAGAGGAACTAATTGCCAGTTTTCATAAGTGAAAATATTTCAAGGCTCCTTTTTCAGCATCAATTGATGTGAAAAAAAAAAAAAAAAGCAGAATACTCAAAGCTAACCCTGACTGCAGACTCCAAAAGATCTTATGGAATCAGATCATTATGGTTGGAAGAGAATTGTAATTCTGACACAATCCTTATGGACAGAACAACAGACAGAATTTAATGCCATTTATTGCATGCCTAATGAATCTGGGAAGGAAAACTCCAATCCTAATTCTAAGAAACAAGTTTACTACTTCAGGAAATCATGAGGCAGCATTTAGAAATTATCTACACTGAATACCATCAACTAGCACAGAACCCAAGAAAAACAAGACTTAGAAAACCTGCACATGGCAGCACAGATCAAGCATGAAACCTCACACACGTAAGGTAAGACTGAACAAACTAAAACTTCACCCTTGAGCATGACCACAGAGGACAGAGGTCTACAGTGTAACTGACAAGGCTTACAGGAAACCGATTCATTGTTTCTCATAACAGGAACTAGACAGTTGTCAGAATCAATACAAAGTACTTTTGTACGCCCTTCAAATTTAGTTTTAGCTTTTATTAAAACGCAAGTCCAGATGAGCCTAGCAGGCTACAAATATATCACTCCTCATCCCGTTCAGCAAAGTTCAAGCAGAAATAACCAAGCACATCCTGGGTAGACAGAGGTTAAATCTGACCAAGTATATCCAGAACCAAGTTTGGTCTTAAATCCACAGTAACTAAACTTTCCTGCTTAAGTTCCTGTTTGTGCATCCCAAGGAAGCATTGGCTAGTAATAGGATGCACATAAACCATATTACAACCTACTCTTGAGGAATAAATGTTTAATATTTACTGGGATGAAAGCAACTGAGAAGCATATACAAGCTTTCAAATCACTCAACAATGATCTGCTCTTCAAGTGTCTTCACTTTTTTTTTTTTACATGAAATAGGGACATTTTCTGTGTTGTTTATTTGAAATAGGCAGGTAGTGGGATTCGTACTAAGGTTGTAATAGTACTTGTTCTTTAAAGTGAGACATTTTTTCCACTGGTTGGAGAACATGAAAATAACACACACAGCCTAATGAAATGACTTCGAAGTCAGCCAGTTGATCTTAAAGTGCTTCTGCATCTAAAAAACTTCAGAAATGCCAAGACCAGGCATTCAGAATAAAAGATGAAGACTAAGAGGGGCGTTATTAATGGATTTGTAAGTTAAAGATTAAATTTGCACATGGCAACAGAACCTTTCTGCATAACAATATATAAGTATTCACACGCATGAATCAAAGCCTTCATATAGGAAGTACTTAGATGAGAAAACTTCAGAACACACAAACTTCTGCTAGCATTCTCATGTTTTATTTCAATTAATACACACAGACAGACAAATTACAGCAGATTTTGTTAAGAAACGTCAGTTTCAACAAACAGTGACTTTCCTGTTCAAACATGATCATTGAAGATGTGTAGTTTCAGCCATTGCTTGCCTCAATTTCACTTTCAAGACTTGACAGGCAACAACTGGAGTTATCTCGTATGGATTCATAGATCAGCCACTCATCAAATCATAAGCTGAAGCTTACTATCAGTTCCAACCCCGAGCACATGCTGGTTTCCTCCCTGTAAAAGAAGTTTAATTTAATTGCAGTCAGCATCGCACACACAAGAGAGGTAACTGGCCTAAAGTTGAGCTGTATGAGCACACTACATGACACTAACCCTTAACTCAGCCATTTCTCAATACAAATGTCTTTATTTGCACAGGACAGGATTTTGCTTCCCTATATCATTAGCATGGATTCCAGAGGGCCAGCCAGATTAGAGTAAATGGGTCTAAGAGCTATTGTGACTATAAGCTTTCCTTAGATTTTTTCCAATTGAAGTTAGTTAAATCTATATAAATAAAAAAAATTCTAACAATTTCCACACAGGTTTCCTTTAGTCCAAACTGATTTTGGTTTTCTTTGTTTTCCTTTCTTTTTTCACGTAAGAAATAATTTAAACTTCTTTAGATATAAAAGACAATCCAACCACTAACATCTGATAATCGTTTTTACACTACATACCTGGAGACCAATCCATTTACAAGGAACTCTTTTCACCCAAGATATTTTCCATAGGTTCATGAAGCATCAACACATTTGAGAAACCTGGAAAATAATATTTACATTAAGCTGATATTAAGACTCAGATAACATTATAATCAGATGACAGTTCAAAACCTACCTAGAAGCTATTTTGAATGCAACAGAGTTGATTTGGTAACTTCTTGAAGTTCAGTAGTTTCATGAATGTGTTCCTCTCATCATGATCCAAAGAAGAGTTTCAACCTCACCTCTGGGTTTGAGAGAGAACTTTTATACCCCTCTGTGTTGGCCACTTAAGACACCGCCAGACTTAAGAGGGCAAAGCATAAAAGGGGAGTAGGTTATAGCACCAATTTTTTCTTATTAACTAAGATGATATGAACTTAACATTTATTCAAAAGAGGTATTACAATTTATTTGAGATTTGTGAATTATTGAAAATTAATATTTAAAATTATCTGCAATTGGTATTACCCTAGAGCACACTTACCTTTTAGCAGAAGGCATTATTTGGTCTCAAGAGGTCCTGAGCATTGCTTCTAATTTAGGTGTGATCGTCCATGTCCAGAACATTTCTAACATGAAGTTGCTAAGTGAGACCTCTAAACAGCACAAAAAAAAAAAAAAGACAAGTATTATTAAACTGTAATGTAATTTATATTACATCTAATTACAGACCTTCTTAAAGCCATATTCTGCAAAGTTGCAGAAATCATTTACATAAAGTTTATTATCAAATAGAGACATAGAGCAAAAAGTATTAATTGATTCAATCTGTTGAAAACATTATTTTCTAAACAGCCCATTTAAACTACATAGAACATCTTTGAACATACTACTACTACATACTACTAATCAGAAACAATGTAAAGTTTATTAAGCCTAAATTGCTTAGTGCTAACACTACCCTGAAGCTGTAAATTTATAGTTTTAAGACTGATCCTTACCAGTGAATTCATTGCCACCTTGTACCTACTTACATATACCTTGTAACAAATTATACACACCTCAACCAAGAGAGGCATGAAAGGTCACTGCTACAGACATAGCAACAGACTGTGCCAGAGGCCTATGCAATCAGTGACTTTTGTTTGAAAGGTTAAGTCCATTTGACCTTAAGTGCCTGCAGCATTCAGAACCCTATACACTGCAGGTTATAACTGCAATTTTCTTAATGCAGCCTACACAAAAAGAAAACATCGCACTGAATTGAGGTTTAAGGTCTGTGCAGCTCAATGCCTGTAATTTACAAAACAGCAGAAGGGTACAAATGTACACAAATACTTATTTGTCTCACGGTGACCCAGATCAGTACCCCCAGGTATGTTTTAAGTGGTACAAAGTCTCAGGACTCAACTCCCTTCGTTTCTGAAGCCCAAAGCCTCATCCACCCAGCCCCAGGTTGTGAGATATGTGACGAGCATGTGTCCCCTTACCTACGGGCGTTCAAAGGCACAACTCCCGATGCCCGGCCCTCCCCAACGGCGAGGCCCACCCTGCTTGGCCTCCCGCGGCAGGCCAGCGCCCCAAGCCTTCGTGGTTGGGGGGAGGACTGGAAGGCCCAGTCGGTGCCTCGGGGCGGTCTCTGCTGCCTCCCTCCCTGCCGGGCGGCCGCCATGGGAGCGACTGCGGCCCAGGCCACGCACTGTGGGGAAGAGGAAAGAGAGAAGTCAGCCCGGAGCAGCGAGGTTGGCCGGGGAGGGGGAAGGGTAGGGGTCCGCTTGTGCCTCACGACAGGATGCAGGGCGGAGAGGAGGGCTCCGCGCTGGGTTTTTGTGAGGGGAAAAGGTGTTCTATCCCCCTGTGTTGACTCCTCGGGCCACCGCCAGGCTCCGAGAGGGCAAGATGTGAAGGGAATACAACGAAGATGTCCCGCCCCGCAAGCCCACATCCCGCCTCCTGTTGGGAGCCCGGGGGGTCCTGGATGGTAGCCCTTACCAGGCCGCCTCACCTTAGCGGCGGCTGACGGCGAAAAAGGGGAACTCTGCTCCTCCCGCCGCCTTATATAGTGCCCTGCCGCTGTCGCGAGACCAGCGGCCAGGGCGCCGCCGTCTATTGGCGGAGCTGCCGCACGTGGCCCTTCCCTGAGGTGGGAGGGGCGGGGCCGGTTGACCACGGGCGAGCGCTGAGGGGAGGCCGCCATGTTGCGCCTCCCCCGAGCGGTGCGGGGGCGGGGTGTGAGATGGCCCCCGGCCCGCTGTCGTCGAGGGTGAGGTAGGCGGCCCCTTGCCTCAGTGAGGAGCGCCCTGGCTGCTCGGTCGCTCTTCCAGTCAGTCGGGGGCGGACCCCCAGCCTGGGTCACGGCGGGGCTTTCGTTTTCCTTAGCGTGTAATTATCCACCTCTGCCCGGGCCGAATGCTGTGGGCCCGGAGGTCTGTAACTTAAGAGAAACAAAAGCATCTTCGGTGCGAAGTAGCAGCTGTGTAGCGATTTTGAGGAACTAAATGCCGCTGATCTCCGTCTAAGCCCTACTTTAGGAGGCTTAGGATCCGTAAGGATGGTGGAGTAAAGCCTCAAGCCTGCGCTAACACCCTGGCTGAGGCTGCAGTACGTGCAGCTCTGGAGCAGGCCTGGGCCTCAGCTCACAGGACGGCACGGTGGGACAAGGCCCAGCGTCCTGCAAGTTACCACAGGATGTGGGTGCAAGACATAACTGCTGTTCTACCTCAGCTGAGGTGTGCTGCTTGACTGGGGAGACCAGAGAGAAGTTTTAGGGTGAGTACAAGCAGATTAGCATAAACTGGGAAATTGTAGCACAGAGACTTGGAATGTCGCCCAGCAAAGCTGGTAGGTAGGAAACACAACGTCTTGGTTCCAGTGGAGTTCTGAATTCCCTGCTTCACAAAGAGCTGAATATATTGCTGATAATTCATAGTGTCCTGTCTTGGAGAGAAACAGTATGTCTTGGCTCGTACTGAGTTGCCACCAGCATGTCACCCGTAAGTGTGTGGAAAGGAAATAACAGGTTGGCCCACTATCCCTCCGAATTTTCTGAACCCTGCATTTAAATAACCCTCAGCAGATCTAAACCAATCTGTTTCAGCCTGAAACAGTCACATAGTTGCAAACAAGGGATAGCGCTAGAAATACTTTCTTATCACTTCCAGTTACCTCTTTGTCTAATTCTTGATACTTGCTTAAAACATGTTGCAGATGTAATCCCTGTGCCAGCATGTTTACTGTGAGTACATCAGGATCCAAAAGCTGTCTCAGGGCTCTAGGCAAGTCACTGTCTGGACATGAATTTGTGAGGCCAGTAGCTTCAGGTTATTTCAGGTGGGGTTCTCTGCAATGACCATTTTCTACAATTAGACACATAAGTCAGATCAATTCTTTCTTGTTTTGTTGGAGGGAAAGGGCTACCTCTAACTTTTACCTGAACAAACCTCAGCCAGGCACTGAGTCTGCCTGCAAGCCTGTGTGTCTTGGGGAATTGTGGGAAAGCCCACATTACTGGTGGGTTCAAGTACAGCTTAATTTTGAGATGGATCCTGGACAACTAACCAGGAGAAATGCAGGTCTGGTCATGAGCAGAATTTGCAAGAACTTCAGCTATAACAGGAGTTTGAGTAGTGAACATGAAAATATTCTTACAATTGTTACAAGAACTACATTTAAGGATCAGATACTTAACGTGCTACTTTAGTTCCACACGGATCACCTCATGTCAAAGAAAAGCCTTTGCTTCTTTTCAGTGTGAGGTTAGCAGATTCTACACATGTCCAGGAAAAACTGGCAGGCACCTGGTGAGGAATGCAAGTAGGTGTTGTTAAGTCTGTTTACACTAGGGCACTTCCACTTTAGGTAGTCATGGAGAAGAATATCTGAAGCTCTGCAATTTGTAGTTAGCTAAGTGGCAGCTGGGTTATTTTGTGAATATAGCATTGAGCTTTTTAAGGAGTCTGTAGTGATCTGAACTCAGTTGTTCAAACCTTGAAGAGCAGTGCTCTAATCAGCCAAGTCTCTTTGTGGGATGTATGAATTTAATCTCGAAGTCACTGGTCTGGTACTTCTCTCAGCTGAAAGGGTTTTGAAAACCATTTGTTTAAAAACATCATGTTGTATTCACCACAATGCACAATTGTTATGAAAGTTTCATTTCAATTTCACTGTCTTCCTCCACAATGATATGCAGCCAGATGACAGTATCCATCTGCATTAAATGACTGGCAGGTTTGGGACCTTCCAATGTAGCAGCCTTTTTCTTATTATTTTTTTTTTCCTTTTTTTTTTTTAAACTATATATCCAATGCACTAAGACCGTCTTGATTAAAACTTTGAGATGGTAATGTAGTTAAAATGTAATTTGATTAATTTATGCCACAATTTACATAAAATGAAAAGGCTATTTAAAATTCATGCTGAAAATAGATTAAATGCCACTTACAGCCTGTCTGCTGTCAAAATATCCTTTGTGTTTTGTTCTCAGAGTGTATGTTAGTTAAAATTAGAGCCTGTAGAATAGAACAAAAATAATAAATAAAGTCTTTGGAGAAGCAGAGGAGGGCAAGCCAATTGTTATTTCCTTTCCAGAGGCAGAAATAGCAATACATTTTCTGTTAGAAACTTAAGTTTTCTGTTATTTTTGCTCAGTGAGCCTTTTCTTGTTTGATAAATTACTTCCATGGCTAAAAATTTTGGTTATCTCTTGCTAGCTCTTGATTAGAACTTAAAGAATATCTTTCCAACTGTAAGCGTATTTTGTATAGGTAAGAAAAATGCCAGTAAAGTTTGCTAGAGCAATTTCTTGCTGAATAAAATACCCGATAAAGAGGCCATTCTTCAAGCTTCTACCTTATGGAAATGTGGGAATATTTTCAGTTGACTGGTGTCAGGGAAGATTAATATTATATTAACTGATGAAACAATATGCAGAAATTCTTTTATTGTCACTGGTCAAAGCTCCTAATCGATTTTTTTAAAAAAAATAATTAAATAGAAGGAAAAAGGCAAGATATTATGAGACAATCACACCTGTAGGCCATTACCAAGCATCAAACTGGCTGAAGAGGCCTAAACAGCCTCTTCATAGCTTAAACTGTTTAATGGTTATCCCTATAGAACTATTAGCCACTTTTATCTACTCAGTCAGCTCTTGGTGTATTTGACATCAGTGTATTTGCATCTGTCTTGTTCTGAGGTCTTTGGCTTTCAAATCTGATGTCTGGCCAAAAAAAAATGAAATCAGATACTGCAAGTATATTTTGTTTTCTTCTGTAAAATAGCAATTTCTGAGAAAAAAAAAAAGACATGGTATTCCGTCTCTGCCGTGGTATAACAGTTACATGAGCAAAGATCGGTAAGATTCAGAGATGAATCATAGGATTGTAAAGAAAAAAATTACCATATTTTAAATCAAGAGAAATAATTTCTCAGATAATTTTAAAATGTTGGGTAGGCATTACTTTGAAGCTAACAGTCTTAAAGAATAGTGATTCTGAAGTTGGGTGGGGGAGTCTAGACTAAGGGGCCTTCAGGAGATTCCCCACATCTTCTGTGGTTTGCCGTGGATTTTTCATGGACTGCAACTCAATCTTACCATTAGAATTTTGGGTGTAAATAGAGTGGCTTCTGTGGCCCTGCTGTGGGCTGTGCGCTACAGCCTGACTCCATGGGCTGCAAGTTGGCATTTGGCACGATACTAAAGCTCCCAATCTGTTCTGCAGCAGGGGGCCAAGCTTCATGGAAAATCCTTAGTCCTCATGTTTGTGTCTACATGTTTTCCATTCTGTTAAAGAGATATTGGTATTTTTTTGTAGAACATAATTTAATGTGAGATACGAAATATAAAAAAGCATTGGTAAAATTCGTAGCATACTTTCTGCGCTGACAATGCATTTATTTGTCTTCTCTTTTAATGCTTATTATGTATTCTCCCACCTTCCAGAAAACCTGAGTATTGTTTTAACTGCCTTTTCCATTAAAATGCCCTTTTAACTGCCTGGAGATCTATCCCAAATTTGATTCTGTTCCAAACACTTGTTCAGCAAAACTGACTAATGATTACCCATTTCTGGACCAGAGTTTATTACAAGAAAAACATAAATGAACCCTCTGTGGAATTTTCCAAGATTTCGGGAGAGGAAATGCAATATCCTCTTTGTAGCACAGAGCGAGCAGGTATTGTGGTCCCAGCTTTGCTACTAACTTTCCTCTGTAACTTTGGACAAGTTGCTAAATTTCTGCTGCCTGATTTCTTGCTTTGTGGAAGAAGCTAATATTAACTTGCTAGTATTAATTTGACAAGTCTGAGTGAGTTTGCAAAGTACTCTGAGACAGGCAGACGGAAAATGTTATGAAAGCCCAAGCCTCTGCCAGCCAAAGAGGATATTTACAATAGGTTATTTTATGTAGTGAAATAAAAATGTTGAAGCATATAACCAGATGAGACCAAGACTGATCTAAAATTAAATGCAGGAGGCATTTTTTGACCTTTCAACAGAAATTATATAAGCACTCTTAGGTTATAAATAGTCCTTTGTTTTCCTTCTCTTTGTCTAACACTCAGAAGAAACACAGGGTTAGTTGTTTGTTAGGAAGAGATAGGGCAATGCTTTAGAATGGAAACAATCGGTCACTGTTCTTTATTTATACAGTTCCTATAATGTTTGTAACTAGCATTTGTTACTTTTCTTAGCATTTTTTTAGTATCTTCAAAAAGCTACAGGAATAAACTTTCTAGTCATGAAAATGACAGCACCAGAAGAGAACAGAAACACTCACCAGCCCATTTCAAGTGTGAATGTTTCTTTCCTCTTTCCCGGTTTGATATGTGACTGAAGAGCAAAAAAACCCAGTGCTAAACTATTGTTAAACTGGCACATCAACACTTGTATATTCTTTCCTATTTTTATATGAAACCTCAGACATAGGGCATGAAATCTCTCCACCCTTCAATGAAAGTATTTGTGTTAGCATAAAGGATAATGATCCTGAATTCTTCACAGAATGATATGTCTATATACCTATGTGGATATTTTCAAATATGCTTATTTTCAACAGTAGTTATTTCCTTGAGTGACCAATAAATACTTCACTCATAGCAATTTAATTTTGTGTTAAAAAGAAAAAAAAGCTTAACAAATAGAAACCATCTGAAACCTTACCCTGAAATCAAGTCATTAGCACCAGTGAGAAAGCAAAAGTACAAACATTCCACTTACCTTTTTCTTACTTTTTTTGTGTTCCTACTTTGGATGATTTCTCTGGGTTCATATTATGGGAATAACATCCTTGACATTAAAATATATGTGAGGTAAATGGCTTTATTAGTTACCACATTTCGTTCCATTTAAATTTTTAATCACCTATCAAGCACATTCATTTGCTTCATGACTTTTCACCGAGAACAAGTGTGATTCTCTGCAGTAAATTGGAATAAATGGGCTGCAGCGAAGTGTATACAATTAGGCTTCCAGAATAAGAGGGATCTGGGATTAAAACCCAGCTATGGAGCAGTACTGTCAGTCTCTGTGGGCTACTAAGAAATGCACTGGGGACCGATCGGGCCCTGATTGTCTCAGAGCTGAGCCTGAGTGTGGCCAGTCCTGCAATGACACCTCCGCTTTAATTCTCATTTCCCTCGGTTACGTCCAGAATACCTGTGGTATTACGTAAAATCAAACCCTCAGAGTTCAAGCAAATCAAACATTTGGAATCAAATTCACACCTAGTGTAAGACTAATAGAATCATACCAAATATTTTTTTTTTCTCCGTGTTACATTGTTTGATAGCTCTTTTACGTAGTGGTTTGTGGATTTATGAAGCAGTTTAGTAGCCCTGATGATTTCACTCCGTCGTGTCCAAGAGCCTTTCTCCATCCTGTAGCTCAAATATCTGCAATGATTTAATATAACTCAACTTACTGAGGAAAGAAGGTTCTGTCTCGGTACAACTCCATTTTGAGTTTCTTTGTTGAAATTGCAACAGGATGCCAAATTTGATACCATTTTTATAAAGTGGGCACTTGTCCACAACGAGCTGGATTGAGGCCACTTACCTAACAGTATTCTCAGGGTGGGAATTTATCTTTAGATGCTACTGCTGATGCTGGATTTTTGTTAATAATCATAGACCTTCTCTTGAAATTAAAAAAAAAAAAAAAAAAGCGTACACCAGATGCCAAATTTGATACCATTTTTATAAAGTGGGCACTTGTCCACAACGAGCTGGATTGAGGCCACTTACCTAACAGTATTCTCAGGGTGGGAATTTATCTTTAGATGCTACTGCTGATGCTGGATTTTTGTTAATAATCATAGACCTTCTCTTGAAATTAAAAAAAAAAAAAAAAAAAAGGCTGACTTCAGAACATTTCCTGTAAATAAAAGCCCGTGGGGCCTGGTTCTATAGGCTGAAATGATTATATTCTAGCATCATGAAGTGAAAAGCACAGCCAAGGCTGAGTGTGCCCTACTTCCAGGTGATGTTAGGAGCAGAGGTGCCTACAGAAACCTTAGCAGCTCGCTCTCTTCATTTGAATGAGTTCCTCAGCACAGCAGAGGAACAATATACGGGCCTTAAACTTCTGCTGAAAACATCAACATAAGAAAAAGGAGAATTTTAAGATAAGACATTGCCCGAGATAAACTCTGCTCATGCTTCTCTTAAAGAGGTGCTGTGTGGCCTCAAGTCAGCTTTTTAGCATCCTTGTGCCTATTATCACGTGTGTAAATTTAATACTCTCACAGTGCTCCACCTTGGAGAAAGGCCTTGGTTTACTTGTGTTTGAAGAGGAACTGAAATTGTCGCATTAACTTTATAGTGCCACATGTTGTCAACTTGTGAGCGAGGGAGCGCGTCGGTGCTGGGATGTGTGGGGTGGACACGGTCCCCAAACAGTGTCTGTGAAATTAGGTGTTGTCTGCCTGAATGGCGATGCAAAGCACCTGCTGTGGGCAGTAAATTACACCCCAGCCTACTGCCCCGGGGTTTGCGAGCCCCTGGGCTCCTGCATACCTCAAATTAGGTGGGGAGAGTGGCTCCCAAAGTACAGTCCCGCCGTCACCCATCCCTGTCACCCCGCCCGGGCTCTGCCTTCCCGCCCTTCACCCCGCCGCCTGCCAATACCACCTCGCACGCACTGAAACCCGAGTTTGGCAGCCCGGTGCCCGTTCCGCTGATTCCAGACCTCCCCGCTCCTCGGGGTGGCGGGGCAGCCCCCCCCTCCTCCTCCCCGCCCCGGCCGGGCCCGCCGGCTGCCGGTCACCGCCTCCCACCTTCCCTTCCCCGGCGCTGCGATGGAGCGGCGGGCGGCAGCCGCCCGGAGAGGAGGAGGAGGAGGAGGAGGAGGAAGGCAGAGATTAGCGCGGTGCGGGCTGGCGCAGAGGCGCGGCTGAGCGCTCCAGCGGGAGCCTGGGGCCCTGCGAGAGTCAGAGGCGGAAGGAGCGGGGATGCGGCTGCTCTCCCCGCGCCGCTAAACCTCCCGGTCTCTCGCCCGGGGGAGGGAGGGAGGAAGGGCAGGAAGGTCCGTCCTTCTCGCGGCTCTGCGGGCTCACGGGGAGCCTGGGCTGTCCCCTCCTCTTGCTTTTATCCCAGCCCCGGAGCAGAAGCCGTCGCCGCCGCCCCCACTCCCTTCCTGCGCTCTTCCCACCATGAGCGGGGCTGTTTTCACCTTATAAAGATGGCGGTGTGGGATCGCTGCAACCTTTAGACTAATGACTGTCAGAAACATCGCCTCCATCTGTAATATGGTGAGTGCTGGCGGGCAGGCGTGCCGGCGGGGGCGGGGGCGGCACAGCAGCCCCTCCGGGGGCAGGCCCGGCTTGGGGGTTGGCGGGGGGGGGCTCCCCCCGGGGGTTCCGGGCTAAGGAAGCGACCGCATCCCCGTCCCCGGCGGCGGGGGAGCCGGGCAGGCTGTGCCGGGACGGAGTTGGCCGCCGGAGAGTGGCGGTGTCCCGAGGAGTTTTCCCGGAGCGGGCCGGGGAGGGACGGAGATGCTGCGCCGGTTGCGGGGCCCTTCGGAGCGGGGCTGGCCCCGGCCCATACGGGTTGCAGACGGAGCCGCAGCCCGCCCTTCCTCCTCCTGCCCTTCCTTCCTCCCCCTATCCTTCCTCCCGCCCTAATAACCCTGCCAAAGGATCCCAAAGTTGGGCTCCGAGTCCACGTTAAGGCAGTGAACCCCATTTAACCCTCTCGGGCAGGTACTCTGTGGTCTTGTTGTCCCAATCTAAGGTGCATCGGTCTCACGGGGCCAGGAGCTGCCCAGGTTGCACAGAAAATGAGGATGTTTAGATGCCTGATAATAGCCTTTTGGATCCTGGTGCTGGGTACCTGTTCTAGGAAGCCTTGGCTTTAGAGGTAACATCAGGGTTTAGCTTGCACTTCATGCCACTCGGAGGACCGCTGTTCGTTAAGTGCTCTTGAATCGCTTAGCTTCCTCTAAATCAGACTAGACGATTAGGAAGGAATAAGGAAACATTAATATTTTTGTTTGTTATGTTCAGGCTTTGCCACTTTCCTCCCCAGGAACAGCTGAAAGGACATTTTAAGTGTTGTGCTCGGGTCTAATTTTAATCCCAACAAATTTGGAGCATTTAATTGGGTTTAGATTTTTGAAACTTGTTGGCGGGGGAAGGAAGAGCTCAAACTTTGTCTGTCAAAGGATTTTGAATGCAGTGAGGCAGTAATAAACTTGCCAAAGAAACGGGGGTGTGCTAAGCACCCCGATGGAAACGGAAGAGAAGCCTATTTCTGCACATTTTGTTGGTTTAGTCTGTATTTTCCCCCCTTATTTCCAGGTTCTTCAAGAGCAGCCACACGCAGTTGCCAGCTTCCCTCCATGTGGTGCCCCAGCATGCCTTGTGCTGGCGATGCCACCCATACCATTCATCTGCCCTGGAGAATGGAGCCTACCTCCAGGGTAAGGCGAGAGGCCTGGCTCCTGCGGGCTCAGCCGCAGCGCTCTGGGGGAGGGAGTGCAGATTGTGAGCCTGCTCCCCACCCGCGTGTCCACGCTTCCACTGAACTGGGCTTGCTCTTTTCTTTCCAACCAGATGCCCAGGGCACCCCACGCGTAGTTCTGACTTCAGCCTCACTCCTCCCTTTGAAAAGCCTGCTCTGAAATGCAGAGAGTGGAGGGTTGGGTTTAGGGTTAAAAAAAAACTTAATACAAAATCCAGATTGGGGGTAAAATAATCAGGGTGCTTCCCCAACAGTAAATAGTTTTCTAAACTTTTCATTGTTCTTAATAATTTCCAGTACTGTATGCTAGTAGGCCAGGGATACTGCAAGGAAAAGTTTGGAAACAGTACAGGACTGAGGAGAAAACCTGGGTGCACGTACCTTCCTCCTGGGCAGGCTCCGGTTTTTATTGCTGATGAATGGTGGGTGTGATGCCCTGCAGACTGCATAAGTGAGCACCACATGAAGGGGAGCTGGAGACTCTTAGGTGGTTGTAAGACTTTGGAACTCCATAATCTCTTTCACGTGCTTCAGACAGATGCACTTGTATAGGGTACGCTTCTCCCAAAGGCTGAGCAGGTTCACAGCTAAACCTCTTTTGCTGTCTTCTAATGGTGAGCTGCTCAGCTGTCGCTGCCAGTGTATCCTGAAAAAAATAGGATCTGAGAAATGGAGAGACTGAAGGGAAGAATTAGAGCCTGGGGCAGGAAAGGGATAGAAGAGCTCATAGTTCAAGGCAATTCTAGCTCATGGGTACCAATACTGTGACAGAAGGTGAAGTTGGTTTAACAGTAATGGTGTTCTAAAGCTACATACTCCTTGGGGTCTTTGTGCTTAGCTTTTAGACATGTTGTGTTGTCCTCGTCACATTGAGCTTTTTTCTGGATAACCTGTAGGGACTGGGAGTTCTTTTAGGAAAAAAAAAAGCTGAGATTTTCAGAAAACTACAGGAATTTGGGGCTGTAAGAAAAACATAAATTCTTGGAAGTATTGGCAACACTGCTCCTTCAAAAATGTGTCCCCTTAGATGAGGTGGTGGACTTGAACTCAGTGGTCTGTAGGAGGAGCTATGACAATCCTCCAAGAAGAATGGGACTTTTGAAGGTTAAAGGTATCTAAGAAAACCTTTCACTTATGTAGAACCTGAATATTTGCAGTGCTAGTTCGATTTAGGGCATCTGTAGAAATTTACCAGAGGAAGATGTTACTTCCCAGACCTTTTTCCTGCACTTTAACATAGTGCTTGACGAACTACTTATAATTTGTGGATTAAGAAATAGGCACATAATTCTTAGGTAATATAATATGTTTTGGTATATAATGCTGCATGCTAGTATGTTTCTAAGTAGTTTAACCTGGTTGAACACATTAATGAAAAAAAAAGATTTGTTCCTCTTTATCTTTCTCCATTCCTGTTCCACTTGAGAGTATTCACAGAGATTTTTTTTTTCGTCACTTTTGCAAAAACAGAAATGATAATGCCTTGTATTTTCAGGAGGTGGGGGGTGAGATGGGGCAGGAAGAGAGAGACGGAGGGAGGAATTGGTCCTGAAGTGCTTGTCCTTCTTTAATGCAACATAGTATGTTATGTTTTCAATAGTAGTCCTTTCTTGACAAAGTTTTTTGTGTTTGTTTGTCCAAGTACTTTCATGTCCTGAAGGGGGAAAATAGATGAAATTTAGCTGAATGAATTTAGCTCAAGGGAACCTGGCTAGTCAGCATTTTAGGATGTGTGTTTGCTATTTAATTGACTGCCCGAGGTCTAGTATCTCAGGTTGTAATTTTGGTCTCCTGAAGATGGTAGAGATTCAGTCTTTTCCAGGAAGGATCAAAACAAGTGCAGTGAGGCAAGGAAGCCAGGGACAATATTTAACTTGCTTACAAAAGAGATCTAGTACCATATATTCACTGGGTAAGCTCTCACATGCTCAGGCAGACACAGTAGGAACCAAGCAGTAAGAAAAAATGTTAAGTGCAAGTTTTCCACTTGGCACATTTATTTGTAGTAAATATTCAAATGCACAACTTCTAGAACAAACAGAATTCCTCTATTGTCTTTTACCAGTTTTGTCCCCCTAGTTATAATAGCAGTAGTGCTAGTTATTATTCACTGATTTGGTTAATGAGACCAAAGAGCTAAAACTTGTTCTGCTGGGGGGGAGGGGATGAAGACGACTGTGCCTGAAGGAATCAGTGGCACTTTTTTGTGGGTACAGTGGCCACCCTCACTGAAAAGCCAGGTCTAGTCCCCAAGATGTTTCTCTTGCTTTCCTTTCAGACACTGGGAAAGTTCATCCACTCTGTTTGTACACCAAGTTTGCCACAGAAGGAGATATACAATGGTCAATCATCTGCTTTTATGTAGAACAGTAGAAGTGAAGAAACATAGGATATACTGAAGAAACCCTATTTGAGGCAACACCAACGCCCAGTGCCATGTAACTCTTGTAGACACAAACTAGGGATGTAGGATGCTGTAATCCTCTTTGGTGTTGTTTCTGTGAGATAACACGTTGGCTCAAGTACAAAATGCTGGTTCAAGGGTAGATAGGCACGCTGGCGTTTTAAGATTGTTGCTTACTGAAATCTCTGCAGTATGTTTCTCTGTTGATGAGCTTTTGGTACTGGCTTGAGTTCTGAGTTAAGCTCATGCTGCAGCTGTGGCCTAGGGATATTATGGTCATGTGCAGTGAAGGACATCTAACAGTTTCACAATGTATTGACATATATTTTTACAGAGATTGCTTACAAGCTCTGTGGACCATATTTCTCCTAAATACCTTTTAATATTCTGCTGAGAACAGGTATTAAGCCCCCCTCTTTCATAATTTTTAATAGTATTTCAAATAATCTGATCTGTGCTTCAGAGTGCTCTGACAATTTAATAAATGGGGCATTCTGAACACATTTGGATGGCTTCTGATACAAGGTATCACCTGAGACACCTCACAGTTGCTCCTGGTGGTTGTTGTATAGATATCCTTTGGAAAAAAAAGTTGCAGTTCCTCCAATTAATTTTGGTTTTTCTTAATGGGGCTTTCATGTTGCCTGTTCTTCTCATAGTCTCTATGAGTATCATAACAATTGGTGTTTTTCTTCAGGAAAACATTCACACAATTCACGAGGAATTATGTGAGTACCTGTGAATTTCAGCTTTCATTTTTAAAACAAAAAAAAAAGTTCCTAACCATCCTAGAACCTAGTTGTAGAGAAAAACATAAATACATGGCAGTCTCTACATTCAGGAAGCAAATAAGACTAACTATTGGATTTCATGTTTGTTTGTTTGATTTTAATGTCATGGGTTTAGAGACTCGTAGGATTTGTTTGAATATAGGGCATTGGCAGAATGAGGGCTCAAACTGCAAACATAGAATTGGAAAACGCTTGATATGAAAAAATTACAATTGTAATGCTGTAAAAATAGCCAAGCTCTACTTTGTACAATAGGAGTGTTATTGGATTACAGAATTGATCACAATGACTTTCAACTGGATGTATTCATTTGGACAACCTGCAGCGTATATTCCTTCATAACTTTTAAAACTTCTCATAAGCAGAGATTAAGGCAGAATAAATCAATTTCAGGACAGTAAAACAGCTATCTGAAGGCATATTTAGATTGATAAAGGAAAACAGATTAAAAGGAAAAGATTAGTTACAGGCAGTTCAAGCAATGCAGTTTTAGAAGCCTATTCTCGAGTGGCTGATTTCAGTATGACATATTTAGAAAATATAAAAACAAAAATATGAACAAATTAGAGAAAGTCTAATTATTGTAACACCTTTC